TATTCACTGTTACAATGCTGTACCATTACTTTCACCATCCTACTACAGCCAGATCTGAAGGCCTTTGCCGCATTCTGGCCATGCTGTGTGGCGCGGATCGCGTGGACGGGTTTCATGTTCTCTGCACGTAATAAGCTCGGTTATTAAGCATCCTTTTTTGGGGATGCCCGGTGGCCGAGGGGAAGACGTGTAGTGGCGTGAAGTAGGCGATTAGGTGCCGTACGCGAGCGCCGGTTCGAGTCACGCACGCAGTACGTATTTACTATAATTAGACGTAGTCTTTACCTTGCCGTTTATTCTTGTGTCTAAAATGAACACCATTTGCCAGTCTTTATAGACCTACTTGTAGTCCGAACAATTTCATCCATCCATTTGGTTTTGTATAGTACAGTACAGTATAAGTAGAACTTAATTCCGAATCTGGCTTTCAGATGGCTTTGCCTTTTCTTAAAATTTTTTTTAAGTTGAGAATTCTTTTTCAAAACAAGGATTAATAAAGATAGAATAGAACCGCTGAAGACTCATTTATTTTTGTTGTGACAAACAGCTACTGAAAGTCAGAATATGTTATCAAGTTTCTGGTGTGCTTACGACGAAGTAAAAGATGAGAGAGAAATTTGGAATTACCAGATATTGGCAAAGATGTGTATGAAGTTGAGTTGAATGGCTACCATTGACAATTTACAGGTTTTCAAGATATATAATGTTTTTCTCCACAAAGTCATTTTTCATGGATACATGTACTTTCTTTACTGTCCTAGTCTCTAAATAGTTGAATAATATAGATAGATAAATTTATATCAGTTTTAATTAAAGAAAGTAAAGCAGAGTTCTCAAACATTGTATCCGTGACCCCATGAGCTTTCTGGTCATCATCACCATATGAAGAACATGACTCTCTGCTATTGAATGTAAATTAGTTAGAAATTGCTTCCAATAAACTTGATGAGTATTTTACTTTCCACAGCTGAGAATAAAAAATATAATATTGTGTAGGAATCCTACAGAACACAGACAAGGTTCTCATTAATTCACTATACAGCTGTCCCACCCTCTAGAATTAATGCTTCATTAAATCTAACAATTCTATACATGTGTATTAAGTTAGTGACATTTTTGAAGATGTCAAAAGGCAACCAACATTGTAATTTAATTAATGCATAATTTGTTCATACAAAAAAAAAATAGTTGGTGAGTACAAATTCATCACAAAAACACAATAATTATCAATGTTTTAAAGATACAATATGAATGAAAACATTTTTTAATATTCTTATTCGGAACTCTATACTGTACACAAAATTAGATTATGATTTATCATGATATGCAGAACACACAAATGTATTCATTAGATTGAAAATCACAAACACGCATGTGTACTGGGTGTTATTGTATGTACAAAACAATCAGCGTATGTGTATTAGAGAATTTCATTGTTTTATCAAACAACTACTCAGGGGTGTGCAACAAGAACAGTGCTTTCGTGTCATGATAAATCAATGTATATATCAATATACAGTATTAAATAATATTAAAATTACATATTCTGGTCCATATTGTTTCTTTAACAATAGAGCATATATATATCTTACCTACAATGATACATGGCTATATTATTAATATATACAATAAAAGAAATATTTCAATCAAACTAAATATTATTCCTGTCAGATCAAATATTTCATTCTTGAAAGTTGGGGGAAATTATTCGACAACATCATCTCTTGATATTTTGCTGTTCATTTTCAGTAAGTCAAATCCTGTATGATTTAGCTCATCAAATGTTGACATGTGTAAGTGCCAGAATCATTGATATTGATCTGTGACAAAGTACACAAAATTGATACATGTATGGCATATTGTATTAAGTATACAGTTTTTGTTGCTGAGGCTTGGGTCACTAGTTTTCAAGCATGGTAACTGGTTGCTAAGGCATGGTTACTTGTTGCCATGGCATTGTCACCGTGGCATGATGACTGAATATTAGGATCTGACATTTAACTGAAAACCATTCATTGAGGCATTCATGTTTTTGTGTTTTCAAAGTTGTATGTGGAAATATTTTAAAATTACAGAGTGCCACATAGTGGCAATCAATTGCATTGTAATTGCATTATTTGTGCATTAAAAGTAACAAATACCATACTTGCTCTATTAAAAGTGAATGAGCTGAATTAAGAAATTTTATTTCAAATATTGATTTTGTGCTATCTGGCAGCTTCAATGCCAGAACTTACAGCTTTGGTCTTCCCACACTCATTGAGGGTACAGCAGATCTGGTGTCCCCAATGAGTCTGTAGTACTCACCCAGGGTACATCGAATCTGGTGTCCCCAATGAGTCTGTGGTACTCACCAAGGGTACATTGGATCTGGTGTCCCCAATAAGTCTGTAGTGCTCACCCAGGGTACAGCGGATCTGGTGTCCCCAATGAATCTGTGGTACTCACCCAGGGTACATTGGATCTGGTGTTTCAAATGAGTCTGTGGTACTCACCCAGGGTACAGCAGATCTGGTGTCCCCAATGAGTCTGTGGTACTCACCAAGGGTACATCGGATCTGGTGTCCCCAATAAGTCTGTAGTGCTCACCCAGGGTACAGCGGATCTGGTGTCCCCAATGAATTTGTGGTACTCACCCAGGGTACATTGGATCTGGTGTTTCAAATGAGTCTGTGGTACTCACCCAGGGTACATCGGATTTGGTGTCCCCAATGAGTCTGTGATACTCACCCAGGGTACATCGGATCTGGTGTCCCCAATGAGTCTCTGGTACTCACCCAGGGTACATCGGATTTGGTGTCCCCAATGAGTCTGTGCTACTCACCCAGGGTACATCGGATCTGGTGTCCCCAATGAGTCTGTGGTACTCACCCAGGGTACAGTGCATCTGGTGTCCCCAATGAGTCTGTGGTATTCACCAAGGGTACA